TGGACGGTACTTCCCAGGTCATTCTGGGCCAATTGCTGAAGTAAGTGAAGTGTTTGATGCTTTTGTGTGTTTTCTGCACCTTTTCAGTCCTATTGAAAACCCCGGCCTCAAATGGCAACGTTTTCAGGGTCTGGTTAAGGGAGAGGAGGAGAGAGCAGACAGAAAGCCAGGCATAGAAGACAGGACAGTGTCTGAGGAAGCAGCTCTAATGTGTCTTGCAGATGAATTGAGTTCTTGGCATGCCGAAGTGCACCCTCCCCTCACTGTGTGGCCAAACCCCGGCTAGTCCTTTAGTACCAAGGGCTTGCTTTAAGTTCTTGTAGAAAGCTTAGGGTAGGAAAAGAAAGCAGATGCCTAAGTAGTACCAACTTATATTTCAAGATCCAGCTCCTGCAGAGCCTTTGCCAAGTAAGTGGCCCTGGCCTTAAAGAGAGAAACCCTGAAGAGTAAACCTTGATAGAAACACATATAAACTCACAATGGCAGAAACACTCCCATGGCATGCAAATACCCAGAGAGCAAAAGTGCTTAACGTAAATAGTAACCTAGTGAGCTCATGCATATTGGGAACCCTCTGACTTGGGAACCCTGGTGATGCAGTAGTTATGTATTGGGCTGCTACCAGCAAGGTTGGCAGTTCAAAACCACCAGCCACTCCTCAGGAGAAAGATGGGGCTTTCTACTCCTGTAAAGAGTCACAGTCTCACAAACCCACAGGGGTAGTTCTGCCCTGTTCTATAGGGTTGCCATGAGTCAAGTCAGCATTGACTCAATTGAAGTGAGATTGGTTTTTTTTTTTTTATCTAAAATTATCCTTAGGGTTACTGTTCAGCTTTTCTTTTCCTTACTTTATTTTATGAAGGCCAAACCAACAGTTCTATGAAGAAAAGAGAAATAATCCAAAAGAATAAAGAAGATTAGAAACCACTGGTCGTTCTAGTACCGTAGTTTGTGGAAACCCAAAGTTGAAATTCAGTAAATAGGAAATAACAAGTATTTTAAATGACTGGGCAGTCGATGGAGGGATCTTGGGCATTTTCTTTATGACAATGTAATATCACTTCGTGTATACTTCTTAACTTTTAGAAGGGTGAAATCTGAGAATAAATATTCAGTTCTCTTATATTACCTCTGTCTCACTGGCTCTCATAACTTCAAATACTCTCTATAGGATGATGACCTTTCAAGTTCTGTTTCCAGAGTAAATACCGCTCTGTAATCCAGACCCATATGTTCAGCTCCCTACTTGACCATCTTCATTGTAATGTCTTAAAAGCTTCTCCAGCCTCACAGATCCAAAATCATTATGGTTACATCCCTCCCTCGGGCACAACATCTTTTCCAGTAATATGCATTTCCAGGGGGTAAAAATTGCCAATTAGTATAAGCCAGAAAACTCCAAGTCTTCTGTGGAAACACACCTGTCATTGTACTGCACGGATGAACACATCAGCTGAAACCAAACCCATTGTCACCGAGTCAATCAGACTCATGGGAATGTTATAGACTCATAGTGTTTTATTCCAAATATCCTTTGGTGTTTTCCTTAACATTTGCATCTCTTCTGTGTACCATGCTATTTTTATTATCAGAGATCTTAACATATTATTCATAGTTATTTTCAATTTCTTATCCAACAAATGTGCTATATATAACTTGACTTAGATATTTTTTCTTCTTGAGATTGCGTTTGCTTTATTCCCACCTCTTCCCTTTTTTGTTTTGTTTCAATGCTGTATCATTACCTATTGAAACAAGACATATTTTATAAGGCTGTAATCTTTACTATGAGGATGCATGTTAATCTCTCAAAGTCATGGTCTTCGTTTAATGCTTGTGGTGGCTATGGCGGCCAGAGGCTTCAATTGTCCTTGGGGATTTATCTTTTTCTCTCCTCTTGTCTTTGAGCCTCCCTAAATCCACCTCCTGAGAGAGAATCTGTGTCCTGCAGCCTGCATCTTTGGGAGCTGTCATCACTGTTATTATCCTGGCATCTGTGGGTAAAGTGTCGAGGAGAGAATGTTCTGTAACATTCTGATTTGATCTCAGTCCTTTCGTGGGCCTGTGTCGTGGGGCGGTAACCTTTAAAAGTGGACCTTATTCCGCCCGCCACTCTCAGTGTTCTCCCTGACGGCAGCATCACCAGTCCGTTCTTCAAGGAGGACCCGAGTACCTGGATGGATCCTGGGCCCCACCCGCCCATTTCAGTGAGACAGAAAGATGGAAGTGGCTGGAATGGGAGGAATTCCCTTCTTTCAATTTGGAACAGGTTCTGGAAATATCTTTTTCCCTGGAATGAAGGGCTTTGTTTGGAATAAGGCTCTAGATATATTTCCCATTCTTCAATGTGGGAACCAGATGCAGTTCTTGGAGGTAAAACCTTGAATGCATAGGAGTTAACCCATATACAACAATGGAGCTTCCAAGAGTTTGTTGTTTAACCATAATTCAGTCTCGAGTCATTTGGAAAAGTTACCATTTAAGTGTTTCTACCGTTTTATGGCTCCAGCTGCATCTTCTCTTGGTAAGCAGATCTCATTTATAGCCATCTGGGTATAGCTATCACTCGTGACTTAGGGGTTCTGATTAGCCCCAAGTCTTCCATTCTCTTAGGAAGCAAAAAAATTGCTTCTTTTCAATTTTTTCCCCTTTTATGATTCTAAGGATGGGATCTTAACATGTCAGAGTTGGAACCAGGAACTCCTTGTTAATTTTATCTATAAAACACCTTCATTTATATTTCCATTTGTGACCATCATTATCTTTCCCTAATTCCTCTTTTGTGTAGTTCATTGTTGCTCCAACCTCCAGAAAAAATATCTAAATAACGTTTAAATGAATTTTTGATAGGAAGATTTTTCCTCTAAATGTCAGTGTGATTCTCTAAGTTAAACATTAGTATTCTGACATAAGGCCATTCCAGGTATAGTTTCATGAAATTAACTGAACATGAGAGCCACCAATAAAGAATTTAATCAAGATTAATACCTTCATTTTAATAAGGTGGGTGAGCACATTAATGGTTTCATGCATTAAATCTTTTGGTGCTAATAATTGATGGCCTTGTCCTACCTCGGAATTTTTTTTTCTTGGCAAAAATAAGATTATTTATAAATTGAACTATAGAGGTGATTTTTCTTTTCTGACAAAAGGTACAATATTTGCCTTTTGTGTATTAGGCTGTTTCTAAATCAGTCAAAATTTAACAGGAATGAGAGGGATTAATTAGTATATGACCTCCTCTTGAAAATACAGATTTACCAATTGAAAACACATTATTTAGTACACATAAAATATCTTATAAAACATTATTTGTCATAAAATTTTGAGTATCATATGTATATAATGTTGTATTTGAACATTTTAAAACTAGATACAGCAAAATATGGAATAATTACATGAATTTTTCCTTTGTGTTTTTCAAATTGTATATAATGAACAAGTAGTACTTAATGAAGAGAACTATAGACATTTAAACAAACGCTACATAAATTTAGTGTGTGTGTGTGTGTACATATTGCATACTCTCCCATGTCAGAATAATTATCATCCCTTTTTACTCAACTTAAATGTGCATGGCTTTGGCATCTCTATTTTAGCATAGCCTATATCTTCCATCAATTGTTAAGTGCTTGTAGTAGAAGAAGAAATAATGACGGGAAGGAACAAGAGAACACAGTTGGAATGAAGATAAGAGAATCTGTTTACCATTTGTCAAGCACCTATCTATGCACTTATGTTATTTTAACTAAGCCTCACAATACCTTTATGATGTAAGTAGTTCAAAACCACCAGCCAGCTCCAGGGAGAAGGACTAGGCTTTCTACTCCTGGGCAGAGATAGGCGTCTCAGAAACCCACAGGGGCAGTGCTACCCTGCCCTATGGGGTTGCCCTGAGTCAGAATGGACTCCACTGCAGAGAGTCTGCGTGTTTATTATTCCCATTTGCAGATGAAATGGAAAATGAAAAAGGTTAAGAAACTTCACATTGTTTTTATCACAACCAATAAAACTGAGATTTTCATTGTAGTTGGTTGCAAGTCGGGCTCTTAATTGCAAGATCAATCGTTTGAATCCACCAGCCAAAGGCAGAGTGGCTCTGGTCTTCCTGTGGGGTTGTTATCAGTTTGAATCAGCTCCAATATTTTTTTTTTTAATCAGCTCCAATATTTGATACATATGAGGTATTCAAGAAATCCCTGTTGAATAACTGAGAACATAGGAGGAATGTTTGGTATTCATGGACCAGAGGACAGCTGACACACCAAAGAAACCAACTTTGACCACAAATGGTGTTATATAGAGGTTTTCTATCTGCTTCCATCTGGTTTTCTTAGTCTCCTCTTTCAGCAGGTTAAAAATTTTTCTTCAAAAGGTTTATTTGTTTATTTATTTGACTCACAACCACAAGAAGCCCAGGACCAGATGTTTTGTTGTTATTGTTTCCCCATCAGTTACAGTCTTTAATTTCATGCTGCAGAAACTCACTCTAGCCGATTTAAACAGGTAAACAAGGTGAACTTTGCCTCCTATTATACATATAATATCAGGTTGAAATATGACATTTTCCAAGAAAAAAGCGCCACACTCCACTATTGACTCCCATTTATTTTGTGTTTTCTTTCTCTGGGTTGACGTTTTGGGGACAAGGAACATATTTCATTTACAACTAAAACTCAACAATTGTCACTCAACCAATAATTACTCTTGTTCTGCAGCATTCTGAAGAGTCTAAACTTGTCAGGTAAGTTTCACTCATCCCCCAAGAAATTCCTTTTTCAAAATTGCCCTCTCATATCACTTTCAAATGAGTGAGTTTCAAGGTTTGGCAGCATGAATTAATGTTTTACACAATGTTTTCGAAGTGTGAAGAATATATTTAGAATGTTTCTATATTTGGGGGAACTTTACGATAAGCCTTGTTTTTCAGCGTTCAGAATTTGAAATGCTTATTTTATGGACAATAGATTTCTGGATCTGAGTAACCATTTCTCCTGCAGTATTTTTGAACAGTGGCTCCGAAGATACCGTCCTCTTCGAGAAGTTTACCCAGAAGCCAATGCACCCATTGGACATAACCGCGAATCCTACATGGTTCCTTTTATACCTCTCTACAGAAATGGTGATTTCTTTATTTCATCCAGAGAGCTGGGCTACGACTATAGCTACCTACAAGATCCAGGTACAATTCAAATTCTTTCCAGTAAAGCACTGAATCCAGAGTAGCAACTTTTAACATTGTATAAATTCATATTCATATGTGAATTGGTATTTCATAAGTCCCTTACTCAGGTTTAAATGGTATCTTATAGGGTGTAAAAGCAATTCAATCCAAGTGGAATTAAGATACATTTAAGAAAGGGAGTACAAATAAATGAGGGAGAAAAAAATGAAAATCCCATTTTAGAACGGCAAGGATATCAACTCACCCCACTCATCCCCAGTACCAGCAGTCCCTATACACATAAAAAGATGATCCATTTCATTCACAAGAAATTAAATGTTGAGTTATAGTAAAATAATTTGGATTCACCATCACTTTTCAGCCACTAGATTTGCAAACATTCAAATGCTTAACAATGCATCCTCTTGCCGAGATTGGAGACGTCGCTCTTGTTATACCTTGATAGTGGCAATGCAAACCGATGCAACCACTGAAGAGGGGGGCTTGTTAAAATCTAACTACATGGGGGAAGAGGGCAAGAAATCTTTTGGAACTTAGTATTTTCTGTTCAATTATTCTGGTAGCCTCGAGTGCTCTGACAAATAAACTATTCATTGAAATAAAGAAATGGTGGCATACTTTAATCGATGTATGTGAATCCTGATAGAAAAATGCCATTCCTCTTAATCGTTTGTTCATTTTTGGACTTGAATTTTGAAGCACAGTTGAAGACTTCTGACCGGCTAGGTTTACTTCTAGGTGATTTCACCCATGTATTTGCTTTTTCTACATATATTTGTTGAATGTTACTTTGAACAAGGCATTGTGTTTCATACTATGAACACGGTGGTAATAAACATCATCTTGGTCTTCCTGGACCTTACATCCTAATGGAAGAAATAAACCTTATGTACTTTTCTTACTTGGTTACTCATTGAGACTACCCTTAAGTATCAATGATGTAACATTTCAGAGGTTACTATCGCTAGTTGGGAGCATTAACTAATTGGTTGTTGAATTGACTCTAACTCATGGAAGCAGATTATATGTCAGATTAAAACTGTGCTCCACAAGGTTTCCAATTTCAGAAGCCCACTAGCCCTTTTTACAAAGGTGCCTCTGGGTGGACTGGACCCTCCAACCTTTTAATTATTAGATTGACAATCCTTATTTCTGAAGATGCAGCAGATACTGAATTGGCAAGGGGCACAGAAGCCTGAAGTTGAACCCTACAAAGCCCTGATTAATGGATTTTGATCATATTCTTAGAAATGTAGAAGACAACGATGGTTTCTAAGCAGATACATTATGGCCAAATTTGAATTTCAAAAGATGGTTGTCCAGCAGTGTCTAGGAAGTTTTGTAGTGGGTACAAAGCACATACAGGAAGGTCAGGCCAGTGAAATATTATTGCAAGAGGAAGGGAGAGAAATGACTATAGAGTAGATTGCATTAGTGGTGGCAGCAAATGATGTAGGGAAGCATGTACCAAAACCCCACTCCTATTGAGTGCATTCCACCTCATAGCGACCCAATAGGACAGAGTAGAAGGAGTCCTGTGGGCTTCCAAGACTAAGACTTAGTAGACAGCCTTGTCTTTCCATCTCAAATTTCCTGGTGGTTTCACGCAACTGACTTTGTGTTTCAAAGCCCACTAGTCTACCCTGAGTCCTGAAAAGTATAAAAAATATATATTGATAATATCTCTAAGATAATATATACAGAAATTAGGAAAAGCTTATGTACTGAATTTTTAATAAGGAGATATTAGAGATATCTGTAAGCCATCATGCCGATGCAACTGGTGAACGGTGATTCAGTTCACTGCGGTGGGGTCAGTAAGGCAGGGAGAGAGTCCTGTGAAAGGCTGACTCTGGCTCTGTAGGTGATATGGCATGATTCAGGAGATATCAGGGTGAAGACGGCTCTGGAGCAATTTGATATGCAGGTGGTAAGCTCAGAGAAAAGCTTTGACTTAGAGACGCTGATGCTAAGACATCAGCAAATAATCTTAAGCCTCACAACCTTATGCAGTAGTGATTTGTACACTGTGTTATACATTTATATGTTTTAAACTGAGAATCAGAAAGGTAAAATGACTAATTCAAAATCACAAACTTAACAAAGGGCAAACAG